TTTTTTATAAATTCTACAATGTAAATGAATGTTATATTAATTCTTGTTATTAGGATTTATCAATTAATTGTTACTTTTCTCTTAAAAGTAATTAATACTTTTATTTAAGCATTTATTTAATATTAATAAGTCTATCTTATAATTGATTTTATATTATAGGGCCATCTATTTAAAGTTTTTAATTAATTTGATTAATTTTTTTGATGTTTCCATAATCATATATCAATATATCATTATTATAGATAGCTTCTTTCATATGTTTAATCTTCTCATTTTGAACTTTCTATTTGATAAATAATAATATCTAAATAAATTCAATTCTCATCTTTTCATCATAAATTTTTTAGAGTTCTATACATTCTTTATTCATTGTATTAGTTTGTATATTCTATTTTGGTTTTTATAGTTTTTTCAGGATTTCAAATTCCTTAATCATATAAGTACCTAAATTTTATAAACCTATTAAACCCTAAACTAAACAATTTTCCTCTAACCCATTTCTAAATAATTATTCTATATCATATAATTATTTCATTAAATCTGTTAATTGACTAGCTAATCTTTTTTATTATTGAATAATTGTTTAATATGGATATTATTTATCATTAATAAAAATTGAATTCAAATTTTCACTTTTACTTTGTATAAGACTTTGTTATTAAAAATGTTATTATTTAAATTCTATTTAAGCCACCTTATCAAAATTTGATCTAGATTTTGATTTAATATTCTGTAATAATTCTTTAGCTCTTTCAATTGAATTCATAAAAATAGATGTTAGTAAATTAATTAATAATTTTTAATAACAGAAATTTAAATGCATGAATCTCAATATTATTTAAGATAATTAGACTAAATATAATTAAAAATCATAAATCCATTAACATTATACTATTATATATATGTACTCACATAGATAATATATTATATAAATATAATAATACAAATAATATAAAAATTAATTAATCAATCATTTGCAAACAAACTTAAAAAATCTTGATCGAGAGTCGTCTAAAATGGAACTTTAGGTTATGCGCTTCTAGTTGTATTATTTGAGTTACAAATAACATGATAATTTGACTACTATTGATATTCTCTATTGTTTATGAAAAATTGATTTTACTAATTATCTTCTTCATTTTCACATTCTAATATATCACATTTTAAATTTGAATTCAGATTTCCATTTTATGTATGTTTTTCTGAGATTCTATTTCGTCTACTACCCTCAGAAGTTTAAGGTCTTTGCATTTTTTATATTTCATCTTCATTCATTAATCTTTAATTATGTTGTGTAATAGCTCTGGTGTGTTTGATAGAATTGTTTCTTGATTGATATTCAGAAGAAAGGTCACAAGGATATTCTTAACTTTTACGTGTCTTGAAAATTGTCTGATTTATCTACTATAATCTTATAGCATTGAGTCCCTTCGGTTAATAAGACATTAAATTATTTTATATTTCAAGATTCCAAGACAATAACTATTTTAGATCTTTTCCATTTTCTTTTCACAATATTTACATCAATGAAATTATGAAAACTAGCTATTTCCCTACTCTTTTAGAACATTTCTTAAATTAATTTGAAGTTCATGTGTGGCATATATAATTCATAATCTCTTTAAATCTCAAAAGATTCAAAAATATCTTTATACCTCCCCATAGATTCTTAATAATCTCCTTTTAATATAGATAATTATACTTTTAGATTCAATTAATAATGTCTTCTCATCTTTTGAATCATATTCTTTTTCTATTTCTTATATTATTTAATTGTTCTTAACAATATTTATGCTTGAAGTTCCTTTAGTTAAAAACTGTTTATTTAATGCTGCAAATATTTTTGAACTATCATCCAAACTAAGTTCTTAATCCAAAAGTGTCATTTTTTTCTATTACTAAATCACTCCTTTACTGAATTGAAATCCTAAGTTTTCTTCGAAATTAGTTTCTACTGTTCTTGAATATTATTCTTGACTTAAAAACAATGGCACTCCTCTTTTTGGTAAACTAGTTATTTTTTTTTAAGATTTTCTAAGATTTCCATTTTATGAATTTGACATATTCCTTTTAATTTGATAATTAAATTATTCTGACATCTTAGGATCTTTCAATAAATAATATAACACACTGTCTGCTATTTTACCTTCCAAACTTAATGTTGATATCCTCTTTTCTAAATTGGTTCTTTTAAAAACTTTTCTCTCTTGACAATACTTTTTTTTATATTTTAATAAAGTTTTAGTTCTACTTGGAAATCCTGTTAACATAGGACAATTATAAAGCAAATGAGTTGATTTATTACATCCTATACATTAAATATGAAATTCATCAAATCTACCTGAGAATTTAACTAAATCTTTAAGTTAACAATATTTTTCCTAATAATTATTTAATTATAGTACATAACCAAACTTTTTAGCAATCTATTAAAACTTATCTCTATGCATTTTTAATATTCTAGATGGCTTTGTAGTTCTGCAATTTATTGAATAATTTTGATCTAACAAAAAATCCTATTATCCAAAGATTTCATCTTATCCATCCATTTTCTGAATAGATACACAATTACCAGAACCTTCAGGTAATGATACATAATATTCAACTTCACCTTCACAAAGGATATATAGATGTTGACTTTACTCTCCTTTTGTAAAAATACTTTACCAAGGAGTCAACTTCTCCTCTTCAAAATCACCAGCCAAAGCTTATAAAAAATCAGAACTAAAATTATCATGAAAAAATGGAATTTTTGATATACTCTTCATATTTAAATCTAAGATCATTTCCTAATAATTATCTATATATTATTATTACAGTATACAAATTACTAGGTAACAATTATTACAATTTAGACATATCAAATTATTCTTGTCCCATACAATCATTCCATAAATATTCAAAATATCTTCTTATTTTTATTTATAATTCTGAATTAAAACCTCTCACTCTTAAATATTTTTTTAAATCATTCAAATCTAATCTTATTTATTATTCTTTTTTTTAAATTGAGTAAATTATTTATCCTATTGATGATACAAAAAAACCAAATGTACAACATGAAACAATTGCTACAAATATAATCAATACTCTTTCATTCAAATTTTATGGAGTAAAGTCTCCATATCCTATTGTTGTCATTGTTATTACACTCCAATAAAATGTAGTCAACTAAAATCATTTTACTATTTACATAGCTTGTTATAAAATTTGCTTCAACTAAATCCTCATTTATAATCCATGAAACATTCTTATTTTATTTCCCTACATAATATAGAAAACAACAAAATATATGAGCTTCTATTATTATTAAATAAATCAATCTAATTAAATCATAGACTGCCCAATAATTTGTTGTTAATTCTAATTTATCTAATATCAATCCAACTCTTTTTGGAACATCCAATATTTTTATTATCATAAATAATGACAATAAATTATTACCTTTGGAATCAAAAAAATAACCTAATGATATTATTATTATTATTGAATCAATTATGCATTCATTTGAATGATAAAAATGTTTTATTATTTTATGTCTATCTGTCACTAAATAACCAGCCTCATAATAACAACTATTTAATTTCACTAGTATATCTATTAAATAACTAATAAATGGAATTATAAGGAAGAATATTTCCCCTTCTTTGTAATATTCTGGCTCTCTGCCATCAAAATCAAATGAAAATTTTATGGAACAATATAAAAAGTTAAAATTTATCATAATAAGCAAGTAAACATTCCAAATGAGTATATATGTTTATTCAGGTTTAAAAAGAAATTTACTATGGGATAAGTACTCCATTAATGATTATATAGTGTAATATTTTAGTATAGTTATTTATAATATGTGTTGTAACCTAGATTCTGGAGCTGCTTTCTATGATTAAATAATATTTACTATATATTTAAAGTAATCATTTTTAACATAAAACCCAAAATCTGCTGCCTTATCACCAATTATTTTAAACATATTGGAATCTAAATATTTAAAATCCTATGGAAAAACCGATTGAGTGATTAATGTTATGAACTTGATAATTCTTATGAAAACATTTAAGGGGTTAGCCTTAGAAAATTACTAATTTTGCTCAGATGTCTAAATATTCTAATATTTTTAAAATTGCAATGTTTTGAAATAAGCTGGACAAGATTTTAATTGTCTTTAGCTTCTCATTGAGTCTTATTTTTTCATTTCTTGTAGCAGTTCTCTATTAGAGTATAATTCAGAGTTCATCAACTTTTGATATTTAATTAAATATGTTGTAATTAAAGTACTAAGATTATTAATTGGATATAAATGTTAATTCATCGTTTTTCAATTTCATATCATGTCAAACATTATTGCCTTTTTGAACAAACAAAATCAATTTTAAGTATAGAAATTTTAGTATTATTACAATCGAATTTATTCTGAAATTATCAAATTTATTTGTTTAAATAATGCAGATATATCATTTTTAATAACAACAAGAATATTCTAATTGATAAAAAAGACTTAATCTATATAGTTCCATTGTCAATTTTTGAAAAGATTAAACCATCCATATATTTTAGTATCTAATTACTATAACAACATCTAATTAAAAAAATTTTATACTTTAAATATCAAATGTATATTCATGAGTTACTCAAATTTATAAACGAATTATTTCAAGTTGAATTAATGTGTCACTAATAAATATAACAATATAAATACTAAATGTAGTGTATTAACTACAATTAGATATATCCTCAATACCATAAATTATATTATATTTCTAAATGGGCTTGTAGAATTTTTTTATTTTAGTATAATTTTTGAAGGCACAATAAACAACAATAATAATTTATAAACTGTATTTAATAATATACAATAAAATAATATTTCAAAATCTAAAGATGATCTAAAGAGGAAATATGTATATTTGGAATCATTTTTGGACTAAAATATAAATATTTATTGAATACTTAAATTTGAATTATTATCTCTAACAGTTTATAATATAAAATAATTTAAAATGTTAAAGGACTTGGAATATCCCCAATAAATAGTCATAACTCCTTATTTAGCTTCTAATTCTGTTGGCTATCACAAAGAATATCCAAAATCTTTGTATAAGCAAGTCTTTGAACCTGACATTATTATGAAACCAAACTATAAAGCAATCAAAATATTTGATCCTTAAGAACTTGTAAGACATTTGCAAAAAAATTTTCCTTTGATTAGGAAAAACATTTTGCAGTTCGATGACTAAATGAAAAAATTAAATTTAACTTTTGGACATATGATAGTAAATGGTATTATATATTTTAATATATCAGGTTTTCACATTGATGATTTCTTGAAGAAATTCTTTTTTGTTTTAGATAAAAGATTGCATAAATTTTTTGATCATCTTGACTAAAGTGTTTTCAAATTGGATGGAAAATAATCATAAGAATTAATTCCAGGTGATTACAGAATAGGAGATACTAGACAACATATTAGATAAAAGTTAATTGATATGTCAAATGATCTTGTAACTAAGTTTGCTTCCAGAAAAACTCCTTAAGAATATGATAGAGAAGTCATTAAGAAAATAGATTAAATATTAAGAGTTTATGAATTATTGAAATATGATTAAGGATGGCATTTTATCATAAATATCACAAAATTCAATCTAGAAGATTTACTAGAAAAAGTTTGTAATAACGATCTCACAAAATTTTCAACAATTGATGAATTGATTGAGTCTATGTTTCTTATATCCATTAAATAAATTAAAGATGCAACCGAACATGAAAATACAAGTCCACTTTTTGTTTTTAATAAAGATGTAGTATTGTCTAAGTAAATTATTAAAATTAAATTAGATTTCATTCTATTATTAATGATAGAACAGATCCTTAAATGTCAACAGATGATTTGTATTATGTAAGTAAAACTGTATGTATGAGGGATAGAAGAATCATTTACAACGAATTTTATAATTAAATTAATAAGGAACTTAAAGAAATTGCTCCTGAATATTTTTAGTTTGCTACAACAGAGAAGAGTGAGTATTTAAAGAAAAGAGAAGAACTTCATAAAAAATTATTAAAAATTTAAAATGATTGGGAATCATTAAAGGAAGATGAAAACTACTATTTAATTTTAGAGGACAGAATTAATGAAGAGGATTTAAGAAAAGTTCCATTAACAAGTGAACAATAGTTACAATAATTATAAAAATTAAATATCTTTGCAAATAAAGCTTCCAACCTATAATATGATGCAGTCACTTTATTTAAAGACATTTTGGATCATAAAGATAACTCAAAGCTCTTAATTGAAAGTAAACTTCAAGAGGCTTTGGAAAAGGCAAAATAATTTTATAATAAAATGACACCTGGCAGAACACCATAGTCAAATTAAATAAAATAGCATGTAGATAGTCTTTATAGTGAATTAATAATTTTGTTAAATTCAGATATATCCAAATATTAAGGATAGATGTCTTTAACTGATAAATCAATTGAACAATAACTTGCTAAAAACAAACAAAATCCTTATTTATAATAAGTATCAAAAGAAATTCAAAGATAACAGCATGTTAGAGATCATATGTAAAAAGAATAAGAAAATGAAATGAAAAAAAGATCTGAATTAGTTAATGAGTAGATTGATCTCATGATAAGATAACAATATTAGCGAGATCTCTTTAAAGAAGATGTATCAACAAGACCAAACTAACCTGTAAATGCAGGTAAAATTATGGAAGGAAGTTCAATTACTAATGAACATTATTATGAAAAAAAAGTTGCCAACTATCAAAAACCTGAATAAGAAGCAGGTAAATATGAGAAGAAGATAAATAACAATAAGGGTTAAAATGTTTCTAGCCTGAGTAGAGATGTTTATGTTGCTTCCACACCATAATATTATGTTGATAAAATTATGGGATAACCTGTAAGCTCTGAATAATTAAGAGAATAGTTATAAAATAAATATAATCAACCACCAAAAAAAAATGACCCTTATAAAGAAATCTCTAAATAAGAACCCCCTAAAAAACCTGATCCTCCTAAAGAAATTCCTAAATAAGAACCACCAAAAAAGCCAGATCCTCCTAAAGAAATTCCTAAATAAGAACCTCCTAAAAAGCCTGATCCTCCTAAAGAAATTCCTAAATAAGAACCCCCTAAAAAACCTGATCCTCCTAAAGAAATTCCTAAATAAGAACCACCAAAAAAGCCAGATCCTCCTAAAGAAATTCCTAAATAAGAACCTCCTAAAAAGCCTGATCCTCCTAAAGAAATTCCTAAATAAGAACCACCAAAAAAACCTGATCCTCCTAAAGAAATTCCTAAATAAGAACCACCAAAAAAGCCAGATCCTCCTAAAGAAATTCCTAAATAAGAACCTCCTAAAAAGCCTGATCCTCCTAAAGAAATTCCTAAATAAGAACCACCAAAAAAACCTGATCCTCCTAAAGAAATTCCTAAATAAGAACCACCAAAAAAGCCAGATCCTCCTAAAGAAATTCCTAAATAAGAACCTCCTAAAAAGCCTGATCCTCCTAAAGAAATTCCTAAATAAGAACCACCAAAAAAACCTGATCCTCCTAAAGAAATTCCTAAATAAGAACCACCAAAAAAGCCAGATCCTCCTAAAGAAATTCCTAAATAAGAACCTCCTAAAAAGCCTGATCCTCCTAAAGAAATTCCTAAATAAGAACCACCAAAAAAACCTGATCCTCCTAAAGAAATTCCTAAATAAGAACCACCAAAAAAGCCAGATCCTCCTAAAGAAATTCCTAAATAAGAACCTCCTAAAAAGCCTGATCCTCCTAAAGAAATTCCTAAATAAGAACCACCAAAAAAACCTGATCCTCCTAAAGAAATTCCTAAATAAGAACCACCTAAAAAGCCTGATCCTCCTAAAGAAATTCCTAAATAAGAACCACCAAAAAAGCCAGATCCTCCTAAAGAAATTCCTAAATAAGAACCTCCTAAAAAGCCTGATCCTCCTAAAGAAATTCCTAAATAAGAACCACCAAAAAAGCCAGATCCTCCTAAAGAAATTCCTAAATAAGAACCTCCTAAAAAGCCTGATCCTCCTAAAGAAATTCCTAAATAAGAACCACCAAAAAAGCCAGATCCTCCTAAAGAAATCTCTAAATAAGAACCACCAAAAAAACCAGATCCTCCTAAAGAAATCCCAATGCAAGAACCCCATAAGAAACTTGAGCCATAAAAATATATGGAATAACCAAATCAGAAACAAAAAAACGTTGATCCTTATGCAATTGATTTCGCTGATAATGATGATCTTGATGATGATGAATTTGATAATGACTATAATCCAAAAGCTTAATAATTTTTATAATAATAGCAACCCTAGAGAGGTATATTTACAAATTTATATAGGACTTAATTAATATCAATAGCCTTCAATAAAACCAGGAAATGATTTCAATTTAGACTCTGAGGAAGATAATTAGAAGCCATAAAATTTAAATGAAATATTATAACCTGATGAAGAAGGGGAAGAGATTGATTAAATTCTTATAACTCCAGAAAATTTGCCAATAATAAATAAATACACTAAAGGAACCAAATTTGGGAAGTCTACACCAATAACAATTTAAGAATTCAATACTTTTGATCATGTTATTTAATTATTTGAAGATTTTATTATTTAAGATGAAGCTTATTTTTTAGATTTTGATGAAACTGGATAGTTATTGTTCATTTTTGAAAAATTACTTTCTTAAGAAGATCCTTAAGAGGAAATTGAAGAAATAGATAAATATATTTAGGCTAAATTTTTTGAAAAAACTTAAAGAACTAACTTTGGTGAATAAAGAAATTTTTTCCCATTTGAGGATAATCCATTTTTATTCTATCTTATAGAGAAGGATCCCCTTTAAAAATAATTAATATTATATTATGATGAATAGCCAAAAGAAGATCATATGGGGGAGGAATTTAATTAATTTTTGAACATCTTCCAATAACTATTCTTATGTGAAGATTATGAAATTTCTCAAGTTCTTCTTCCAGCTTAATCAAAAAAAAAGCTTGATTCCTTTGGACCTGATGGCAAATATTTAAAATATATGCTTACAGTTTTTACAATTCTTTATGAACAATAAGCTATTTAGGGAGACATAATTATTAACGATGACACTATTGCAAGAGCCTTTTGGGCTCTACATTAAGCTACAGAATTATACACATTATTACAGGAAAATGAGGAAGATGTTAGAAATGCTTTTGTTGATATTTTATAATAGGCTCAAAATAATGATAAAACTGTTTAAATTGCAACAATAGAAGAGCCTTACTCAAAATAAGGGATTGAAAATTTATAATAGGTAACACTTATAAATTATTATTTTAGCAAGTATAAGAGATTTATTAAGATTTTCTATAAAATAAAGCTATAAAACAATCCTTTTTCTCAATAGATATTATAATTCAACAAGAATAAAAATATTGTTTATATGTGCATTTACAAAAGGTTGCTTAACTTAATTTTCTTAAAGTATGAACATTAGATTTATCTAGATATTTACTTTGTAAAGTTATGGAGAATTAAATTAATAAATGCTAGAATTTTTATTAATGGACGATGGCTTGTTTACATAGAAAGTCTATATGGATTTTCCAAGACATAATTTCTTCTAAGAGTATAGTGAAGTTACACTAGGTGCTTTTTACCATCTTGTAGTTAAGAAAAATTTAAAGCCAGAAGAGGCCATGGTTAATTTAGTTTTTTCATTAGTTCCATATAATCTAATTTTTACAAAATAAGAATGATTTTATTAAATATTCATAATAATAAATTAATTTATTAAAGTATTTAAAAAATCAGACTAATTTTTATAATCTCTGAAAATAGGGAGTATTTTTTGAATTAATAATTTTAACTTTAATTATTGATTCTATGTAAAAACGTTGGGATAAAGACTTTAAATTTATTTATATGTTAATTGATAAGATTTTTTTATTTATTAGAATAATAGCTTTAAATAAATAGGATAATTTTTGATGATTGTGAATTTCCAATTTTAATGAATGAGAAATATATAAATTTAAGATTATTTATTAATATAGAGCTATGAAAATAGATAATATATCTGGGAAAATTTTGATTAAAGGGATTATTCTTGCTTTTGCAAAATCAAATATTAGTTTCTTGCCTGCTATTTTGTCTACTACTCACTTTAAATATATAAATATAACTAATAAACGACTATTTGATAGATTATTAATGGTACTTATAAAAACTGATTTTGTAGAATTTATAATTAAACATAGATAGTACTTGAAATCAAATTAAGTATGATTGATTTGTTATCTTTGAAAAGTCTTAATGTAATATGAAATTAGACTTTGATTAAAAAGGAAAGAAATTATCGATGTATATTGAAATCATCATCTGAAATTTTTAATCATTACAAATTCTTTACAGGATGATTTTTCTATTTATTTTTAACTAAAAACGATCTAATCCTGAGTAAATTTATCAATAAATATATGAATATCAATTTAATTCTTCTCTTTCTATCATATTACCTATTTCCAATTAATCTAAATCAACATTCTAGATGTTTCAATTAAAATAAGCTAAGATGTTTTTATTATTTTTAATAATTATAATTTATTATAGTGAAATAAATAATCATTAAAAGAATTTTTTACAAAAATGTTATTCTACTTAGGAAAAATATAATTTTTGACTTCATTATCAAACAAGGTCTAAATAAGAACAATTTAGAATTTTATTTATGAAGTGGTTTAATTAAGTACATCACAAAATATGATAATAATTAATATAACAACTTTTTTAATTAATTAATTCAAATTCAAAAAAAAATAGAAAAATGGACTTCATCATAAAAGTAGGAATAGATGGTCATTAATTCCTTTTAACACTTCCGCCTGAAAATAAACGGTATTTATTGCAAAATATCTTAGGTTACAATATCTATAAGAATAAATTTAAAATGAAACAAAAGTAGAAGTGAAAAATTAATTACTTTTGACAAAGAAAGGAGTAAAATTGGAAGATTTAAATTAATTTGATGTTGATTAATAATTGCAATAAACTGTTTAATAATTTCAAGATGAATAAAAATTTTATGTAAAAAACTCTATATTATTGGAATAGACTATTTATTTATTTGATTTAAGTGAAAATCCAGAACAAGTTACTTTTCCATTCCCTAAATATGAGCCTAAAATGGACTTAAAATAGTTGTTACTATCAGATTAAGCAAAAGAAACTTTAGTTAATTTGAACACAAACTTACTTAATCATGAAAAAATATTTTTTTAGCATTTACAAAATTTAAAGAATAAATATATACCTTATTAATAAAAGGTTAAACAATTAGAAAAGATTGGTTAAGATTTGGAAAATTAAATTTAATCATTTGATATTGTATTAAAAATGAGTAGAACTACATATAAGACAACTAAGGCTAAGAAAGAGGAATTGACAAAAAAATAAAAAGAATCATTAGAAAGAAATTTATAAACAGTTAAAAAATTTGATGATAGTTTAGAATAGTTAAAAAAAATAGAATTACATGCTGCTTTACAAACAAATTCGTAAAAATATTTAAGTGATATTTATTATAAACCAGAATCAATGCTTAAATGGAAAAATAGTTGTTTGAATACTTAATAAAATTTAAAATAAAAAATTGATAAATTAAGTTAAGCTATATCAAAATCAAAATAAAAGATTAAAAATGAAAAAACAGAAAATATGACTCAATGTTTATCAAGTTATAAAGCAAATTAGTAATAATATTAATAATTCATTCAAGAAAATAAATCACTATTATAATCTGTTGTTTAATCTACAATTGATGGTAAGAGTATTAATTATAATTAGAATATAATACTTTAAGATAATATATGATTGATTTTTCTTAAGATATTAATGATGAACCAGCTATGTATTATTTATCTTAATTTGAATTATCATAAGAGCAATTAAAATAATTTGAAGATGCTGTTATTCATTTAGGTGATCATTTAGAAAAAAGTATATTATTTTATATATATAATCTTAGCTAAATAAGTATTTATGTAATTTAATTAATTAAAATAATAAAATATGACTAAAATTTTGAAAGTTTTTTAAAATTTAAGAGCTCTTGATAAAGAATTTGAATAACACAATGAAAAAATTAGATAATATGATGAAGAAGTTGAGAAAATGGAGAAAGATTTTTCATATCTTTTAAATCCTGTTTTATTACCATAAGCATATTAATAAGCATTAATAGAAACTAGTAGAAGGAAAGAATTTAGAGATATTTTTGATAAGAAAATTAAATCTTTAATGTCAATAATAGATTAAGAAAAAGACAAAAGGAAGAAATTTTTATAATAATATGGTAGAATATTGCCATAAGATTTTATTGGGTAATTAAAGAACTTAACTCCTTCAATATAAATTATAAATGCTTTTGTAGATGCTGAATTACCAAATATAACAGGATTGCATACTGATACTTTTAAGAAAAAATAGGATAATGATTTGGATTAATTAAAATAATAAATAGAAGATTTAAATTAATAATGTAAACAAACTCATTTGTTTTATTAAGAGAAAACTACAAAAAAATCTTCAACTTATGTTGAATTATTATAATTAACAGCAAAAAATTCAATGAAAATGTTTATTTAAAGAGCTGAAAATAAACCATTATCATCAATAGATATTAATTCAGATAAATCATAAAGAGAAAATGATTCAAAATTAATGAACTTAAAAAATGAATTTAGTGAATAATTAAATAATTAAAGATAAGAATATGAGAAATTGAAAATTAAATTATAAAAGTAGGAATAAGATTTTGAATCTAAATTAGTTGAAATAGATACAAAAAATAGTTAAATTACAGAACTTTAATAAAAGTTAGAATTTTTATAAAACAATACAATAAAATTAAAGGATGATTTAAATAAATTTGTAAGTAAATGTGAAAATTTAGAAATTAATTTAATATAAAAGAATAGTGAAATATCTAAATTACAATAATAATAAAAATAACTAAATGATTAATTAACATAATCTAAATAAATTTAATAAGATTTAATTAAACATAAATAATCATTATAATAATAATGTGAAAATCAAAATGATCAAATTAATGAATTAGATTTATTAAATAAATAATATCTTTAATAAGTATAGGATTATTATTCTTAAGTAGAAACTGTTTAAAATGAAAATGAAAAATTAAAATAGAAAATTAAGATGTTGGAATTAGAAAGAGATAATAAATAAATTGAATTAGAAAAATAAATTTAAGTCTATAATGAATTATTAGAAGATTATATAGAAAAGAATTCCATATTAGAAAATTTGAATGAAGAATAAATTAAAAAATCATAAAAAGACTAAAAATTAGAAGAAGATTAAAAATCACTTTAAAATAAAGTTGACAATTTAGATTTAGCACTTCAATAAAAGAATAATGAAATAATTTTATTAAAAAATCATGATTAATTATAATTATTAAAAGTATAGGATGATTTTAAAGAAGTATAATAATAATATGAAGATAAAATTAATTGTTTAACTTAAGAGAATCTAGAGATGACAATATAAATTTAATCATTAAAGGGTTAAATTGAATATTTAAATTAAAAATAGAAATCTGAAAATATTATTGAAATTCAATAAAAACTCAAATTATCTGATCCTTAATTTTTATTTGACTTGTCTAGTATTTAAATTGGCAAATAGAGCATATTTATTCCAGCATAAAATGATGTTTATGTTCCATTATTACTAAAAAACATTTAGATTTCAAATATTTCAGATGATTCCTTATCAAATACAAGCATAGATTCATCAATCAAATAAAAACAATATAGAGTTTAATTAGCATCAATTCCATAGACATTAAGAGAATTTATTATGTAATTTATATTTAATTTTTAGTGATACTGGTTTACTATTCATATCAGAAGTTAGTAATATCACAGAAACAGAAGAGTACTTTTAGATTAGTGTGAAACAACCAAATTATATTATAGGATTTGAAGGTTAAGATAATTAAATCAAGAGTTTTACTCTTTGAAAAATAATTCATTTTAAATATTAATGTATTTGTATTATTTAAAGTTATAAAAATAAGGTAAAAGATGGGAGCTTTGATAAAATTTTACTTCTTCAACATTCTTTTTTATATTTGAATGTTGTATTGATATTTACTCATTTAATTTATAAATTCCAGTAATCCTTAAATTATATTATAAATTTTTATAATTATATTATTAACGATTTCATAGAAGTTATATATAATTTTTTCATCTTTCTTATATAAACAAATAAAAGTTTAAATAAAAGAATAGCTTTAGATTATTGAAGTTACTCATATATAAACATAGTTTAATTTAAATCTACTTAATTGAAAATCAATAAATGCCCAAAAAGATGAACTTAGAATTTTGTTTTTTTTTTATTTTGACTGTTATGTTAATATACAATTTTGAAGAAATCCACATATTTAATACATTATGATGGGATTATTAAAATCTGAAAATGAATAAAACTTTAAAATTTAATAGAAGATTATAACAGCCTTCCGAATAGATGGGATTTTGTGTTCAATGCTTTAGTTTTATTCCAATAACCGAAATAGACTCTCATTGTCTTAGTTGCATGGAAAATAAAAGAAATATTGAATGTTATTCTGACAATATTTCATTTTAATTGGAGCATATTAATTAAGTTGCTTAGAATGGAATGGATAAATGTGAAAAAGGATCTGAAAAGTCAAAGTATTTAA